ATACAGCCATTGGCTGAATTTCCACGGCACACTACAATTGTGTAGTTTGTGGGATCCCATTGATTGCCTTCACACATTGAACAAACCGGGTCCTCACTTAATGTGGTTTGTTTTAGCGTAATGTATTGCAGATTTTGGCCAACCCAGATTTACTGAGCTAAACTCCAGTCTAAGCACCACAGTTGCTCTTTTAATCTTCCTCAAGGTTTTTTTTAATAAAATATCTGGATTGCCAAGGAATGTCAGGAAATAGCTTGAATAGCTGCATAATTCTTGGGTTTGGGGGCGTATGCCAAGAACAAAGAACCCTCCTTGCAAGGAGAGTTACCACGTCTCCCAAATCTGCAGAGGGCTGGGAACAAAAAGGCCTTTGAGCTGAGGCTGAATAGAACCTTTTAAATTTAGCCCTGTTTCTCCAAAAACCACCAGTCATTTATTTGTAAGTTGGACGCAACAGATCTGTTCTCTGGGTCACTTACGTTTCAGCTACCGGGAGCTGGCTGGAGAATTCTGGGAGTTGAAGTCCACAAGTCTTAAAGCTGCCAAGTTTGAAGACCTCTGCCCTAGAGGTTTGTGGAAACCAAATGCTGCCTTGTACACAGCTCCAGAGAGGCTGAATAGAAGAGACAGTCATTGCAGGTAGCCCTGGACTTACAACCGTTCGTTTAGTGACCATTCAGAGTTACAACAGTGCTGAATCTTAAGTGGCTTATGAGCATTTGTCACACTTCACAGACTAGAACTCACCATCTCCTGGTGATTGGTCCAAAGTCACCCAGCTTTTATGCTTAGTGCAAGGCCTCATTGCTTCCTGGGGATTGGCCCAGAGTCACCCAGTCAGCTTTTGTGTCTAAGGTGGGACTGGAACTCCCTGTCTCCTGGTGATTGGCTCAAAGTCATTCAGGCCAGTTTTCGGGCCTAATACAGGACTAGAAATCACCATCTATGAGCATAACAACCCTTACAAAACACGATGCATCTTATTCATTGGATAATGAGAAAACTTCAGTTTGGAAATACAAAATGACACGGTTCAAAGACGAAAAAAAAATCGTATTTCTCCAGACTCTCAATCGGCTGAGTTTGCGAACAAGAAGTAAAGCAGCCTCTGCCACATAAATTCAGTTGTGATCCATCAACTTGTTCTGTGTAGCTTTCAGCTATCGGTACAACCTATTTATAGAGAGAAGATTGTCTTGCATAGGGAGGAATGATGCCAACAAGTGGCCAACAAATGCAGCTTGTCTCTGTGTTTTATGTGCCGACTTAAAATTGTAATAACAAGCTGTCCCAGTTGCTATAGGCCTTTGCAAAGTATCATCTGTTTTGGAATTAAGTTGACTATGGTGCTAACCGAACATCTTGTTATCCCTGATCCGGTTTGCCTCAGTTGTGGTTTCCAACCATATCACAAAAAATTAGAAAATGACGCTTTAACACTAGTCTGTTTTAAATTTGATTTTAAGATCAGGTGTATAAAATTAGCTATTTCCTTTTGGCCATTTAGCTTGTGAATTTTGCAGTACAGATAGTCCTTGGCTTACAGCCGTTTGTTTAGTGACAGTTCAAAGTTACAACGGCACTGAAAAAAGTGACTTATGACCGTTTGTCACGCTTACAACCATCCCAGCAACCCCAATGTCGGGTGATCAAAATTCAGTTGCTTGGCAACTGGCATGAACTTATGACGATTGCCGTGTCCCTGGGTCACGTGATCATCTTTTGCCAGCTTCTGACAAGCAAAGTCAACGGGGAAGCCAGATTCACTTAATGACCGCATGACTAACTTAACAACAGCAGTGATTCCCTTAACAGCTGTGGCAAGATAGGTTGTAAAATGTAAAGCAGAACTCACTTAAATGTCTCGCTTGGCAGTGTAAACTTTGGGCTCAATTGTGGTCGTAAGTTGAGGACTAGCTGTACTTGGACTGTGCTGTACAAGGTCACACACTTGAATGCCTCATCTGGTTGTCGTGTTCAAGCAAGAGAATGTTGGCTTTTGCAAATAGAGCACAGTTTTAAGGCAAATTATGACCGTGTCCATGTTTGAATCAGAATAGAACTGGAAGGGAGCTTGGAGGGCTTCTAGTCCAACCACCTGCTCCAGCAGGTGACCCTATACCATTGGCTAAATTGCTAAATACACGAGTCTTCAATTTATGACCACAATTGAGCCCAACATTTCCGTTGCTAAGTGAGGAATTGGTTAGAGTTTTGGCCCATTTTAAGTTAAGTGAATCACTGCAGTTGTTAAATTAATCACACGGTTGTTAAGTGAATCTGGCCTTCCCCCATTGACTTTGCTTGTCAGAAGGTCGCAAGAGGGGATCACGTGACCCTGGGACACAGCAACTTTCAATTTGAATCTAGGTTTACAATTGGAATCAGAGTTGAAAATGTGTGTTAAGTGCCTATTAAAAAACATGACCAGGGATCAAAGGGATATGTCAGGGCTGGAGGCCATATTTTCTGTTGGATCTTCAGGCCTGCCACATTTACTACTGTGGGAATCTGGGAGGGGGGATTGTATGGAGCAAGGGTGATACATAGTCATAGTAACATTCCTTTCCCTGAGAGTCAAGGACATCCTGCCCTGCACCTGGAGGGGAGTGACTGGGAGGCATCTCCAGTTGGGATGGTGCTTTGATTGGGGCAGGGACTTTCACTTTCTTTTGGGTGGGGAAAACCTGGAAGCATTCAGATTCGGGTTTTCCCAGTTGTGCCAATATGTCATCTCTTATAAATAGAACTTTGAGGAACTTCTAGCCTTGGAGTCTTCTTTCGTTGGAGGTCTTACTTGGAACCTGACATTATAAATATGAAAATATCTGCTGGTTTTATTTGCTTGCATTTGCTATTATGGAGATGAAATGTAAACTGTCAGCCCCGATAACCAACTTCGGTCGAACAGGGTAATAACCAAAGTCAAGGCAACAAGGTCATTAATGCAATTTAAAATCTGCTGATCATTCCCTCCCCTCTTAGGCTGTCAGGGTAAAAATAGCGTTCAGGGTCGTTCTTGAAAGGAGCTGATTCAGCTCCTAAAGCACTCCAGGATATCTCTAGCTTGATGCTAAGTCATATTTCAAGTTTTAATGAAAACAAATATGAAAAAAAAACCCACCTGGTTAAATAATTGTGTTGCATACAATGCAATAACTTCTGAAAATGGCCTCTGTGTATGAACACTAAGTAAGTCATGTGATACCAAACAAGAAAAATATACTTTTATTAGAAAAGATGATGGAATCCTGCTGACCAATGAATAAACCATGATTTAAAGCATTGAACTGACACCTCCTGACCAGCCATGTCAACAAAATCCACCCTGGTTTGCCATTGTAGTGGGATTTCTATTTTATTTTCGTGTCTACCCTTAAGTCTCCCAACCTTTTTTAAAAAACAATTTGCAGTTGAGCAGAATAAATACGTTGAAGACTTAGCTTGATGTACAAGTTGCCTAAGTAAGGTTTGAAGAAAGCTTTCAAAAGAATGCAGTGGTACTCAGCTATTAGAGAGTGATAGTTTATAACCCACTAGATACCTGGATGGGCTTTAAGTTAGACTAGGATAGTGATGGTGAGCCTTTTGGGTTCAATGTGTCCAAAATTTAGAAAATGCCTAATTTGACTCTCCTCTCCTCTCCTCCCCTCCCCTCCCCTCCCCTCTCGCCCTGCCCTGTCCTGTTTCTCCCTCCTGTCTCTCCCTCTCCTCTATCTCTCTTCTCTCCCCCCCCCCGCTCTCTCCTCTCTTTCCCTTCTCTCGCCTGCCTTTCTCTCTCTTCTATCTACTATATCTCCTGTCTGTCTCTCCCTCCTCCTCCTTTCTCTCCCTCTCTCCTCCCCCTTCCCCCGAATCTAGAAAGTCTAGGACAGTGTGCCACAGCCAATTCGCCACAGAACAACTTACTGCAGGACAAAAGTTGCACTAACATCGAAGAAATGGTAAAATAGAATCAAGAAAGGAAGCAGAAGGAAGGGTAACCTGAAGTGCAGATGATCAAAAAAAAAAAAAAAAGAATTAAATAATTCAATAACATTGTTGAATTGTCCCATGGTGAGCTGGCCATGGTGAATTGGCAGCAATAAGTTGGCTGTGGCAAGTTGCCCCACTCCCATTGAGCCTCGGTGGCGCAGTGGTTAGGGTGCAGTACTGCAGGCTACTTCTGCTGATCACTGGCTGCCAGCAGTTTTGGTAGATTGAATCTCACCAGGCTCGAGGTTGCCTCAGCCTTCCATCCTTCCGAGGTTGGTAAAATGAGGACCCAAATTGTTGGGGGCAAGAGGCTGACTCTGTAAACCGCTTAGAGGGGGCTTTAAAGCACTATAAAGCGGTATATAAGTCTAAATGTTTATTGCTATTCCGAATCTAGGCACTCTGAACAGCTTCACTTGCTAGCATCCCTGAGGCTGGGCCAGAAGTGGGGAGCCAGGCCTCCTCTTCATCCCTAGTACCACTGTTGCCTCTCAAATAGGCCGCCTTGTACTGTTTGCACACAGGCAGGTCCCATTCTCAACCAGCCTCCAAAAACCACACGAGAACAGGGCCTGCTTTTGAGAATAGTTGCAGCATGTTGATGAACCCCAAAACCTTGGGCTGTGTCACCTTTGATGCATGTGTCATAGATTCACCACCCCTGGACTAGGGTATGGAAATCAGGTATTTGAAACCCCAGTGGACATGTCCCCATAGTCACCAGCAGCAAAGCTCTCAACTGTTAATTTTGAATCATAATCTCATTTGCAGGATATCTAGGCCACTCCAACCAGCTGTTTGGACACAGCGCCATTCCCTTAATCTGATTTGAGGATTGAAATTCATATCTGAGAGTCCAAAGTTAAATCCAGAACCACACAGTCTTCTTATAAAGCAGGGCTTTGGGGCATTCCTGTTGCGTGCATGAAGCTGGACCGATGCCTAGAATGGAGTTTGTCTTATATGTCGTGTGCTATAACTCTTCTGAAGGTTGCTAATTCTGCTTTTTAAAACTTGTCTTTCAGGTTCTCAATGGCTTCTAAGAAGTCGGGGTCTGATTTTCACGGTAAGTGAATGGCCACAGCTGGACCTGTGTTACCCATCTGGATGTAGTTTCTCCCTGGTTATTAAATGAAGGATTCTGACCATAGGATTTAATTACTCGTGGAAACATAATAGACTTTATAGATAGTCCTCACCTTACAACCATAACTGAGCCCAACATTTCCGTTGCTAAACAAGAGAGTTGTTAAGCGAGTTTTGTCCAATTTATCACCTTTCTTGCCAAACTTGTAAAGTGAATCCCTGCAGTGGTTGAGTGGTTTTAACCATAAGTAGAAGATGTGCGTTGATCAATAGTTGCTAAATCAGTCTGACTTCTTCCTTCCAGGGCCCTTCAGTTACCTTGATGATGTTCCATTCAAGATAGGAGAAAAGTTCAGAAGACCAGCGAAAGTTGGCCTCCCGATTGGTTTCTATTTGCCAGACTCTCCACAACTGATAAAAGAAGCCCAGGTGAGTCATAAATTCTGGACATTTTTTTTAAATAAATGATGCTTTAACCTGTTTAATCTGCTGAATCGCAATTGAAATGATAAGGAACATACTGTATAGTACATTATAGTTCCTCACTCATGTCTCTGATGAAACTCACCACAGTTTAAAGCTCTTCTCTAGTTGACCTTGTTGGGTTGATCCCTTAAAACGGAACTGCTTCGACTTGTTTGCACGTCTGCTGTGTTGTTTGTAGAAGCCAAATAGCAAAACAATAGATCTGCAGTTCAAGTTGTCAGTACCTCTTTGTTAATCATCAGGGAGAACCTATGTGGAAGTTGCAGTCAAAGGAAGAGATGCTCTTTGTTTTTGAAGTTCCTTTTCTTTTGAAGATTTTAGATTGGTAGAAAAAAAATGTTCCGATGTGTCATCACAGCCAAGGTGTTTTTGACTTCATACTTGGCCTTGGCAGAAGTCATCTTAATAAGGGCTCCTTATTTGGCTCTCAGTAAACTACCCAAAAGGATCTGATAGAGCATTTCATCAGTAGGTGCTTTTCCTTCAGAGGAAATATCTTAGCTTTTGGACTACTCCAGTATGTGGGGTCCTTGGTGTTCTCTGAGCTTGGTTGTTTTCTTGCAGACATTTCACAATCCAGCTGGATAATATCATCAGTGCTAGAAGGGAGGGCGGGTTTACTCTTATTTTATACACGAATATATAAAAATGAGAGCAAATCCCATTTCTTTCTAGCACTAATGATGTTATCTGGTTTGGTAATGAAATGTTTGCAAGAAAACAATGAAGCTTGGAGAGCACCAAGGACCCCATGCTCATTCTCCCCCTCCTCCTCCTCTATCATCTCTTTTTCCTCTCTTTCCTCCTCCTCCTCCCTCTCTTCTTTTCCTCCTCCTCCCTCTCTAATTTTCTTCATCTTCCTCCTCCGCTTCCATCTCCACCATCACCACTCCTCCTCCATCCAGCAAACCTCCCTCCCTTCTAGCACTGATGATATTACCTAACTGGGTCATGAAACTCCTGCAAGAAAAACCACCAAGGACCCTTAGCGTTGTACCCCAAGTAAAAAAATCTTCTCTTTCGTTGGTTCTCCAGTCTGTTACCACGATTTCTTTCTCTCTCTCTCCTCAGTATGACTTCTCTCTCGAAAGGAAAACAATCGAGTGGGCCGAGAACATTAAAAGGATCCAAGCTGTCCAGCAAGAAATGGAGCGGAAAGCCAAGGAGACCCTGGCCAATGTGAAGAGGACCTCAGAGGAACACCTGCCCGAGGGTTGCGGCCCGGGGGCTGCCCTGCCTCTCCCCATCAACCCCATCCTGGCCGGCCTGCATCACAACTCCATCCTCACTCCCACCCCGGCCAACAGCAGCGCTCTGAAGCAAAAAGTCTTGAGTCCCCCCCACACCAAGGCCGACTTCAACCCAGCGGACTTCGAGTGTGAAGAAGACCCCTTTGACAAGTTGGAGCTGAAGACCCTGGACGACAGGGAAGAACTGAAGAACATCCTCCAGATCCACGTCGACACCACGGGGCCGATCATGGCCCAACTGCTCGACGGCGGCTTGCCCAAAGTGGCACCTCCGTCAGCCCTGCAAGACCAGGAGGTCTTGGCCTCTTTGGAAAGGGCCGCTTTGGACCTCAAGCCCCTCCACAAACCCAACGGTCTTGTGACCTTGCCCCAGCTGGGCGGGTGCGAGAAGATGTCCCTCTCTTCCAAAGTGTCCCTCTCGCCCGTGACGTCGGTCAGCAACATTAAGTCCCTCTCCTTCCCGAAGCTGGATTTGGACGAGAGTGACTTGCAGGCGGCAAGGCTGGTGAACACCTACCGTGCGCACAATGGCACTCTCCTGGGCGCTTTACCGGACAAAGCCAATGAACTGAACGGACACCACGCGATCGGGGCTCCCACCTTCAGCGTGGACCCCAGCCTAGACACGCGAACGTTATCCTCCGTGTCCAGAGGTCCTTCCCAGCCCACCACCGTAGCATGTACAGAAGACATTCCGGCTCTCACTACAGCCACAGCGGTAAGCGCTGCGCAACAGAGGAAGTGCGCTTGGGGGGGGGGTTAAGAGCATGAGCTTTGATGAGAAGAGGAGGAGGAGGGGTCGTGATGGTGGGGACTGTATATTTTTCTCTTTCACAAGTTTTATTTTGTTCAAAAGATTAAAATCCAAAGGGGAAAAAAAATCAGACACAGAACAAAACTAAACAAAAACAATTAATTTGTGGTTGTTTTGTACTAAATACCACTTTATAAGGCCTTGGTAAGGCCACACTTGGAATCCTGCATCCAGGTTTGGTCGCCACGATGTAAAAAAGATGTGGAGACTCTAGAAAGAGTGCAGAGAAGAGCACCAAAGATGTTTAGGGGACTGGAGGCTAAAACATATGAAGAACGGTTGCAGGAACTGGGAATGTCTAGTTTGATGAAGAGAAGGACTAGTGGAGACATGAGAGCAGTCTCCCAATATCTCAGGGGTTGCCACAAAGAAGAGGGAGTCAAGCTATTCTCCAAAGCACTTGAGGGCAGGACAAGAAGCGATGGGTGGAAACTAATCAAGGAGGGAAGCAACCTAGAACTAAGGAGAAATTTCCTGACCATCAGTGGAACAACTTGCCTCCAGAAGTTGTGAATTCTTCAACATTGGAAGTGTTTAAGAACAGATTAGATAACCATTTGTCTGAAGTGGTGTAGGGTTTCCTGCCTAAGCAGGGGACTGGACTAGAAGACCTCCAAGGTCCCTGCCAAGTCTGATCTTCTAAATGGTATAAATAAAGCCATGTTCCCCAATCTGGACCAATTTTTGGAAGGCAGAAATTAAGTGGGTGATGGAATACAGATAATCCTCAATTTACAATTTGTTTAGTGACCGAAATTACAGTAGCACTGAGCATTACCCCCCAAACCACAGTTTCACACTTGCAGCTGGAAGGAGGGCAGAGGAAGGGTAGCTAAAATAGGGGACTCAACATTTTCCATCAGAAAAAAAAGGATAATTTTTAATTATCCCTAGCATATGTCAGCCTTTTTTTTTTTAATGGTGGATGGACATCCTGTCGACCCCTTTATTGAACTGTTTACCGTTAGTTCCAGATCTCCTTCATCAGTCGGCTCTCTTTGCTCCGATCCTGTTTTTACAGGATCAGAGCTAATGGTTACAACCACGCTTTGTTTTTGTTCCTTTGTAACTTCAAATAGTTGTAAGTTGAAGACTTCCTTGTATTGCTTTTATCACTCGGAACAATTTGGTATCAATCAGCAAACTTGGTTATACCTCTAGTCACCTCCGATTCCAGGTGGTTTGTAAGTACAGATAGCCCTCGACTTAACAACAGTTCATTTAGTAACCGTTCGGAGTTACAATGGCAGTGGAACAAAGTGACATGACCGTTTTTTCACACTTACAACCCTTGCAGCATTCCTGTGGACATGTAACCAAAATTCAGATGCTGGTTGGGGAATTCTGGGAATTGAAACTCCACGGAGTTTCAAGTTGCCAAGAATCAGGGTGGATAAAAATCAATGATTTTTTTTAAAAAAAATCAAAAAAAATGGATTTTTTAAAATTTAAATCAGATTTTTTTTATTTTTATTGAATTTATTTTAATAAAAAACTTTTGGGGTAAAAATCTATCGTAAGATAGTTTTCTATTTAAGATACATAAATAATTTAGTTTATTCAGCATGAAATGGAGCTCAGTTATGTAGCACGAGGCTGTATATTCTGCAACACTGGGACGATCGGCGAGTCAACAGTGGGTCAAAGGAGGAGCAGAGATGACAGTTGCTCTTTAAAAATTAGGATTTAAATCGAGTTGATTTAAATCAAGCCTTTTTACTAGTGATTTAAATCATGATTTAAATTGTGATTTAAATCAACTCGATTTAAATCAAATCCACCCTGCCAAGAATGAGAAATACTGGTGCCCATATACCAGTGATGGCAAACCTTATTTTTGTCGGATGCCAAAAGCGCGTGTGCGACAGCACGTGTGTGCCAACACCCAGAATGCAAGGCCCCCGCAGGCCCCACCCCTGCACATGCACGTGTGACCCCCAGTGCTCCCCCTGCCCCCCCACGCATGTGCGTGCAACCCCCGTTTTGGTCCTAGCAGGCCTCCCTGAAACCACCTGGGACCAAAAGGGAGAGCCAAGGGGGCGGAAGAGACCAAAAAAATCAGCTGGCCGGTGGGAGGCATGCAGGCATGCGCGGTGGAGCTGACCTGGGCGTCTGCTTGCATGCCCGCAGAGATGGCTCCGTGTGCCACCTTTAGCACGCGTGCCATAGGTTCACCATCACAGCCATATACCTTCCTGCATGGGAAGTAGTAATTGCTGAGTTAGCCCAACCCTTGCAGTGAAGGGAGAGTGGATTTTCCTGTAGAGCCTGCGTGAATTAAACCTTAATCCTGCGGATCTTTTGGGAGTTACTTTTATTATCGCTGCTGCTTTGAAACTCCGGTTTTGCCCCTGCGGGCTTGGTCTAGCGGTTTTATCTTGTGAAGCTTTTTTTGTGGGCTTTTTATGCTTTGGTATGAAGGCCTGGGCAAACTGGGGGGAGCCGTGGTGGCGCACTGGTTAGAATGCCGTATTGCAGGCTAATTCTGCTAACTGCCAGGAATTTGATCCTGCCCACTTCAGGGCAGACTCAGCCTTCCATCCTTCCGCGGTCAGTAAAATGAGGACCCAAATTGTTGGGGGCAATAGGCTGGCTCTGTAAACCACTTAAGGTTGTAAAGCACTGTGAAGCGGTATATAAGCGCTATTGCTAAGTTCTGTCTGTCTGTCTATCCTATGTATCATATCTATCCATCTATCCATCCCGAAAATAAGCCCCAGCCTGTTTTTTTAAGCGTGCACCTAATATAAGCCCTACTCCAAAAATAAACCCTAGTGAAGGGGGGGGCATGACCAGCACAGGAGGCGGTGAGCATGCGTGGGCCGATGGTATACGTTAGCAGCCGCAGCCTGTGCAGCGCAGGTGTTAATTACCTGTCCAGCAGGTGGAGGCAGAGGCAGGGGGGGCACACGATCTGGATGTGCCGCAGGAAAGCTGGGAGTTGATGGGCTAGAGCAGTGACCGGCCACGGGAGGCTTATCTTCATGACTCTCTGCTTCCCTTCCGTCCCTCGCCTCTGCCTCCATCTGCTGCTGGTGCCAACGCACGAAGATGAGCCTCCCATAGCCACCCACACACTCCAGTCCACTGACTTGGCTTTCCTGTGGCCTGTGTGGTGCATCCGGATCACCTGCCTTCCCCCCCCCCCCCCCCCCCGGCACCTCTGCCTCCGTCTGCTGCTTGGACAGGAAATCAACTCACCTGCACTGCATGGGCTGCACACCTCCGAGTGCGCCATTCAAGGGACCGGCAGGCTGCAGCTGATGTTGGACACTATCAGTTCCCGCGTGCCTGTCCCCACTTGTGCGTGGGCTGGGGGGGGGTGGCCCCCAGCTGGGCTGATCACCCTGAAAAAAAGCCCTAGTGCTGTTTCCCCAAAAATAAGCCCTAGTGCTTATTTTGGAGCCCCCCAAAATATAAGGCCGGGTCTTATTTTCGGAAAAACACAGTACTTTTAGAAAGCAAGTCAGCAGCTGAAAGCTAACATCAGGTTTTTAGTTCTACACTAATGCAAGTTTTATTTCTTTTCAAAGCCGAACATTTTATGAACTCTCAAGCGCTTTCAAATGGTTTTCTGAGAAGCTCAGCCTCAGGCCTGTAAAATGTTTTCTGGTTGTTACCCTTTTAAGTTTGAGCTCATGGCCATTTTGGGGGTGGGGGGGCCAATGGACAAGCTGACTGGACCTCAAGCCAAGCTCTTCTCTCTTTTCGACTACTTTCACTTTAAAGATGCAAGGGAGATGAGCAGTTTGATCGATAAATAGATAAGTAGATGGAGCAAAGGGACTCCAGACTTACGACATGCTTGACTCCTCCCTCGGGCTCAGCCTGGTCCTCTCCTACAGGGAGGGATGGATGAATGGATAGATGAAGAGAGAAGACCTGAAGAGGTAGATATAGTTAGAAGAGATAGGTAGATAGATAATAGATGACAAACAGATAAAATATAAGTAGGCAGATATATGGTAGACAGACAAACAGGTAGATGAGATAGATAAGGTAGGTAGGTGGGTGGATCGATGGAGAGAGATGATAGGGATGGAGAGAGAGATACAGAGATGATGGATGGATAGATGAAGAGATAGTTTGGATAGATAGGTGGAGACAGAAGAGATAAATAGAAGAAATAGGTTGACGGTAGACAGGTAGACGAGATAGATTAGGTAGGGATGGATGGATGGATGCCAGAAGGCTTCCACTTTGACTTAGGGGCAGCGCCAGTGTTCTGCCTTCCCCTCAAATGCTCCCCTTCTTTACCTTTTGTTAGGTAACTCACCAAAGTTTCCCGACCTCTCAAGTGCCCAAGACCACCGGCAGCTTCTCCTATGGGGACGTGCTGCAGGCCCTGTCCTCCAGAGAACTGGAGTGTCTTGAAATCATCGTGGGCATGGGCTATTCGTACGAAGATGTCTTAAAAGCGATGAAGAGGAAGGGGGAGAGCATAGAACAGGTAAGAGGAAGATCGTGTTCCGTCCATACATCTGGGAAAAGGGAGCAATCCACCTTGGCTGTAGTTTGAGTGCCCAAAGGCAACTTCCTGGTTTGTTCCTTGTCCTTTTCGCCTCATGGTATTTGCAGGGTTGTGTCTTGTGTTATGTCAGAGAAAATACAGCCGGTCCAGAGCTTCTGGTATTTTGATGGAAGGAGGGGAAGCCTGGGAGAATAAGGGTAGCCCTCCACTTACGACAGCTCAACGTTACAAAGGCCCTGACTTATGATCGTTTTTCATAGTTACGACCTTTGCATCATCCCCATGATCCTGTGATCAAAATTCAGATACTGACTCATATTTATGACCGTTTCTGTGTCCCACTTTTCCAACCTCCTGACAAGCAAAGTCAATGGGGAAGCCAGATTCCGTTAACAACCTTGTCACTAAATTAACTGCAATGGTTCACTTAACAACTGTGGCAAGAAAGGTCGTAAAGTGGGGCAAAACTCACTTAACAAACATCTCACTTAACAACAGAAATTTGGGGCTCAATTGTGATTGAAGGCAAGGACTAGCTGTATTACTTAGCTATCCGTTTAATTTATATCCCACCTTTTATTATATATTTATAAATCACTCAAGCTGATGAACATAGCTAATACTCCTTCCTTCTATTTTCCCTACCATAACCACCCAGTGAACTGAGCTGAGAGAGAGGGACAGGCTCAAGGTCATCCACCTGGTTTTTATGCCTAAAGCGAGACTAGAACTCCCTGTCTCCTGGTGACTGGCCCAGAGACACCCAACCAACTTTCATGCCTAACGCAGGACTAGAATTCATCATCTCCTGGTGTTTGGCCCAAAGTCACCCAGTCAGTTTTCATGGTTAAGGCAGGACTGGAACTCCCTGTCTCCTGGTGACTGACCCCAAATCCCCCAGCCAGCTTTCATGGCTAAGGCAGGACTAGAACTCACCGTCTCCTAGTTTCTAGTTCATCATCTTAACCACTAGACCACTTGTTTTCCATGAAATGTTTTTGAAACTAGGAGTCCTGCCTGGTGGTGGTTTAGATACAAAGATGGATACTGCCCCATGTTCCTATTCTACAGGTAGTGCTCAAGCTACAACCACAATTGAGGCCAACGTTTCTATTGCTAAATGAGTCAGTTGTTAAGTGAGTTTTGCCCCATTTTATGACTTTTCTTGGCACAATTGTTAAGGGAATCACCGCAATCATTAAATTAGTGACATGGTTGTTAGGTGAATCTTCCCCATTGACTTTGCTTGTGAGAAGTCACAAAAGGGGATCACGTGACTCTGAGACACTGCGACTGTCATAAATCTGCAATTTCAATTACCAAGCATCTAGATTTTGATCACCTGATCACGGGGTATGCTGCAAAGGTCATAACTGAAAAACGGTTCTAAGTCACATGTTTCAGTGCCGTTGCAACTTTGAACAGTCACTAAACGAACCGTTGTAAGTTGAAGACTACCTGTACTTAAGTGACAACCGGAACAAGAATACCACTGAAAATGAAATTTGTGGGTAGCTGAGACCAGTTATTGATAGGAGCAGGTGAGAAGATCTTGGTCAATTCAGGCAGCTGAGCTCTAGAAAAGTTGAAATTGGACTCGCAGAACAAACGTCTGAACTCATTTCTTCTCTCTGGATTCTCTGTGTAGATTCTGGAATACCTGGTTGTCCGTGGGCAACTCTGTGAGAAGGGCTTTGATCTGCTCCTGGTAGAAACGGTCCTCGAAATGTATCAGTGCTCGGAGGAGAAGGTGAGCATTCATCCTTAAAGCAATATATCACTTCACGGTGCTTTTCAGCCCTTCTCTAAGCAGTTTACAGAATCAGCATTTTGGCCTCCGCAATCTGAGTCCTCAATTTACTGATCTCGGAAGGACAGAAGGCTGAGTCAACTTTGAGCCAGTCAGGATCGAAGGGCTGACAGTGAGCTGAATTAGCATGCAATACTGCATTCTAACGCCACCGTGACTCATAGATGATAGAGAGATAGAGATAGACAGATAGAGAGACAGACAGACAGACATGATCGATAGATATACCAGTAGATATGAGGGAGGGGGGTGAGAGGAGAGAGAGATGATAGAAATAAATGATAGAGATAGATGACAGATATCATAGATATGATAGAGAGAGATGATGGAAGGCCGAGTTCACCTTGAAGTGGTCAGAATCGAACTGCTAGCAGTGGGCAGAGTTTGCCTGCAAGCCCTCTCTAAGCGGTTTACAGAGTCAGCCTCTTGCCCCCAACAATATGGGTCCTCATTTTAACGACCTCACAAGGATGGATGGCTGAGTCAACCTCGAGCCGGTCAACATCAAACTCCTGTCAGTCTGAAATGGTATAGGATCTGCTGCTGGAGCAGAGGATTGGACTAGAAGACCCCCAAGGCCCCTTTCAGCTCTATTCTGATTGAATTGATTGACTCGTGGACTTCAACTCCCAGAAATGCATGGCTGGCTGAGGAATTCTGGGAGTTGAAGTCCACAAGTCTTAAAAGTTGCCAAGCTTGGACACACTCCTGACGTACCATCTTTTTCACGGCCTTGGGCCCCTCTCAAAGCCAAAAACTCTGTTGCCCACGAAAACTCTGTAAATCCTACTGGTTCGGACTGATTCGGGCGAACCGCTAGGGACTCTTGGCATCGGTTCGCCAAACTGGTAGTAATCACCCCTCATTAGTCCCACCCACACCCGACCGGTCACCGCTCACCTCTTCCGGCTGCTCGATATTCCACAGAATTCAAATGTTAAATGCAGCAGAGAGAATGCTAACTTTTCTCCCTCCATTCACAAAGGAGCTGCTGCAGCCTGTCCCTTTTCAGGGAGTCCCCAGGAGGGAGGGAGGGAGGGAGGGGGAGGGGGGAGCAGCTGGAATGGAGCCGTTTTTGTGAAAGGCAGGAAAATGGGGAAGGGGATTTTCCTGCCTGCTATCCATTCCTCAATCTCAGCACAGACTGAAGGAAGGATGGTAGGCAGGAATAGTCCCCTCCCCATTTTCCTGCCATTCGTGGCAAGGAGTGGCTGGGAGGGGAGGGGCCGGTGAGGAGCCTCTCGATGTGAGTGATGTTGAGTTGGCCACGCCCACCCAGTCACATGACCCCCCCCAACAAGCCACGCCCACAGAACCGGTAAGGGAAATTTTTTAATTTCACCACTGCCGTAAACTATCTTGACAGCCTATCTACCCTTCCTTCTTTCTTTCATTCTTTCCTTCCTTCCTTCCTTCCTTCCTCAGGCCATCGAGATTCTCCAGCTCATGAGCAAATTTCAAGAAATGGGCTTCGAACTGAAAGACATTAAAGAAGCTTTGCTATTACACAACAACGACCAGGACAATGCCCTGGAAGATTTAATGACCCGAGCAGGCGCCAGCTGAAAAGCGCGAGCGGAGCAGCCCCTCGCTGCTTCTGGCCACCGGACACCCCCCCCTGCCATCGCCAGCCGGGTCTTCTCTGGTGCTGCGGGAAGGAGAATGCCACGAGGATCCTGCGTTCGAGATGCTGTCGCAGCTGAAAAAGCCGGTCCTTTGCCACGCCCTCACCCCGGCCAGCTGTGCCCACCCACCCAAAAGAGAGTTGCAAACGCTTTCTTCGATTAAAGTTTTAAGTGCCCTTCCCCCCACGTTTGTTTCTTTCGGTAGGCCAGAGACTCCGGACTGAGTTGTGCAGACAAGTGTCAGGCTAAGGTTGTTTTTTTTCTCCCGATTCCCCCATCCCAATTCTGTCCCTGACACCCCACCACCTACCCCTTTCCCGGTCCCTTTGTGCTGGACTCAGAGAAGCGTCGACCCTCGGCCGCAAACTCCTCCGCTAGACTTCCTTACAACCGCTTTGATGTGTGTGCCTGCTCGTACTTGCAAACGTTTTGAGACACTTTTCAAAATCCGTTTGATAGAAGTGCAACGGAAGAGTCAGTTTTTACTCAAGGCGAGGAAGGTCGAAAGGAGAAACTTAGTAACCTTAGTGCAACACTGGTTCACTAACGGCTGCCGAACGCCCCGGAGAAACGGTACGGCTTTTTCCAGCACGGCGGCACGGGCTGCTCGTGAATTTCTGCCAGTTTTTCTTCTCTCCCCCCCAAACAAGATAACAAGCTGTGAAATCTTTTGCCCCTCGGCTCTTCTGTCTTGTCTGTCTGTCCCAGGAGTTTTTGGATCTGTCCCACCCGAGCTAATCATTGTCCTCCTCCTTAAGCCACGTCCTTCTGGAGAAATGAAGTTGATGGGTCAGTTTAACCGTGTCAAATTGGCGACGGATTGGGGGGGGGTCTCTCTCTCTTTCAAGCACTTTCTTTATAATATTCACCTCGTTGGTTCCGTTTTATTTTGTTTTGTTTTGTTTCTTCACACAGTTATAATTATTAATCTAGTCCTAGGAATCAGCCTTTGGGTTTTGATAGCGAAAAAAGTATTACGTTGTACATGTTTAAAGATTTAAATTCCTAAAAAGAACTATATAAGCGGTCTTGATCCTCGAAGTAATTTGCTATTTTGGCTCTGCAGAAAGATACTAATAAAATCTTAAAATGTGGCTCGTTATGTTCTCGGGCTTTAGGAGGGATTAATCTCATTTTTTTTCCCTTGATGAAAATCCAGTGTTATGATTTCCCCCATTAGCATGCTGTCAATAATTAGCATTATTTGCCCAAATCGCTGACTCGCTTTCCTTCATCCTAAAAGAAAGGGTTACCAATACTGCGCAGGAATCGATTTCATGACAGCTGTCCGTCTCTCTCTCCAAGAACTGCCATCTGGGGCTTTGTTCCTTGAGTTTTAACGAGATGAACCCTTCATATATACAGGTAGTCCTCAACATAACCCTAATGAAGCGTCGTAAGTTGTGTTGTAAAGTAGATCATTCTTGACAGGTCTGCTTTTAACAACAGTTTTTGTGGTGGCCATTAAGTGAATCCCTGCCATCATTAAATAAATCCATGGTCCATAATGGGCATATTTTACTGGAAACGAAGTAAACATCAATTTCAATCAAAAACTAATAAATTGTGATTGCGTGATTGTGGGATGCTGCCAATGCCTGTAAATACGGTGTGGTTGCACTTAAGATTTACCTACCGCTCCACAGTCCTTTACAACACTCATTACACAACATTACAATGACAGCATATTTTCCCCAACAATCTGGATTCTCATTTTACCGACCTCAAAAGGATGGAAGTCTGAATTCACCTTAAACCGGTCAGAATCGAACTGCTAGCAGTGGGCAGAGTTACCGGTAGTCTGCAATACTGCATTCTAAGCACTGCACCATCATGGCAGATTGGATGGATGGATGGACGGATGAAACTTAGCAATAGCACTTATATACCACTCCACAGACCTTTATAACACTCTGGGTACACAACATTACAACGTCAGCATATTTTCCCCAACAATCGGGGGGAAATCTCATTTTACCGACTTCGGGAGGATGGAAGGCTGAGTCAAAACTGCCAAGCTTACCAACATGTGGTCATGTGACCCGGGAGCATGGTATCGGAACTTCAGAACCAGGTCATAAGTCAAGGACTGCCTGTAATAATTGGACAATCAAACTCTGTAAACCCCAAAACCGCGTTTGTTTAATCCTGTTGAGTTTCTGGCTTTTATGTCCTTGACCCAACACTGGTGGAACTTGAACCTGAAAAAAAACCCCACTCGCCACCAAGTCATTTCCTGTACTTGACCCACCATTTCCTTCCCAGGGAGGGCAGCAAGGGGTGATGGCAGGCATCACAAGGGCATTGTAGTACTGAGTAACCAGGAATCGGTCCTCTGGGATGAACACCCCGTGACGATTCACAAAGGTTGACTTGTCAGTTTTGTTTGGAGTTTTTTGAACCCTTCTTGGGCCACAGTTTCTGCAAGCTGCCTTAGAGCTTATGGGGGTTTGGTGGCCCAGTAGTTAAATAAAATAAAATAAAAGTATAGTTGTAAGCAAGCTAGTTAAAAGTCATCCATTTTAGATGGCCTGGCCATAAGGTGGAGTGTGTGTGTGTGTATGTATATATGTGTGTGTATATATATTGAGAGAGAGCAAGGGTGAGAGCACACTGCCCTAGATTAAGACAGAGTTGGCCAGGGCAACCTTTGCATACATACCGTGTTTCCCTGAAAATAAGACCTTATATTAATTTTTGCTCCAAAAGATGCATTAGGGCTTATTTTCTGGTTAGGTCTTATTTTGGGGGCAATAGGGTACTAAATGCATCCATCTGGCTGACAATCTTAACGGGGGCTTATTTGAGGGGGGTAGGGCTTATATTATGAGCATCCTGAAAAATCATGCTAGGACTTTTCTGGTTAGGGCCTATTTTCGGGGAAATGGGGTACATATATTTGTGTGTGTGTATGTATATATGTATAGAGTGAGTGAGAAGGAGGGAGAGATGTATATATAGAGGGAGGGAGGGAGCACACTGCCTTAGAGACAGACACAACTAAGGAAGCTTTTATATACATACATGCAATATATACATACAATATATGTATGTATGTGCATGTAATTGCTTCTAAAGTAGTGACCCAAAAACATTTTTAAAACCCTACAAATATAAGAATACTGCGGCAAAGAACACACAGAGAAAGTACTTTTAAAAAAAGGAAGGAAAAAAAGGATAATGTGAAACCGTGTACTCAGGGCTGGGACCATGGCAAAATTTGGAGCCGAGAACATTCACACCAATCCTTAAAGCTGCAGAGAGTTAAATGTATAATAAACCAGCGGAGACCCGGAAACGGCTTATAAAGACGAGAAATACGGAATCGCACGAAAGACGCCGATTCCTCCTCGCAGAGCCCCGCATCAAAACTCATCCAGTGAAAAGGAAAACTACCAAATCCATGGCAAGCAATCATGAATAAATTTTATTTATAATGGCGTAAGTCAAGTTGAGTTACGGAGAGCCCACTTATTTTGGCCAGCCCCAAAAATGTCACATTCCTCTTCTAAAGGACCAGCTGTGCCGAGAGGTCACATCCCTCAGTTCCTTGATGTGAAAGTCTGTAGTTGGAGGGGACTTCTGGCACCACCGCACACTGGCATAATTACGCTCTCCAGCCCTCTTCTCACTTCTGAATTATTCTTGCAATCAAAGCATCGAATTACCATTTTGATCCGGGTCCTTAATTTAGGGGGCATTGTCTTGAACACAGCAAATTCCGAAGCAAACTTTCAGTATAAAACGACATGCATCTATTCAAGCTCATTCTAATTTAATTTACGTAGCATTTGCCGCAATCAACATCCCTTAAACCGCATGGACCACCTTCCCTTATTAAAGGTATTTAAAGACACTTTATTTTATTTTTTTTTTGGTATGGTGAGGCAAAGTGCTTAATGCAACATAACCAAGCTATCTCTGCTTTTTCTTTTTTAATTCAGTCCATCTGCCGGGTTTATATATCTATTTTGATGCATTAAAATAGTTTGCACCGTTTCCTCTTTCCTCGCAACCGTTTTCTATTGTGGCTTTTTTCCCGCCGAAGAGCATGGGTGACTATCGCATTCCGGGCCCTAAAACATACATGTAGGCTCGAGGTCAAATCGACATGCTTTGGATCCTGCCTGATGGCACTAGTCTGCAATCTCCGTGACCAAATGGCACCTAATATTGGAATTAGGCGGCGTAGTAGCAAGGATGGGCTACGGGCTTAGGCGAACTGAAGTCAAAATAAACGCCAGCCTTCTCAGTGGTCTCGGTGACTGGCTCCCAATTCTGGCTGAATCGGGCTCTCACCGTGACCACTAGCCCTTTCTACTTCTATCCCCTCACTCTTGCTACTTGGGAGCCCGACAAGGAAAGAATCGAACTACCAATGGTGTCTCCCATGAGAATCTGATGCTCAAGGCCCAGCAGGTGGCAAGATACTGGCTCCATTCCCTCTACTCAAGAGTTACTATTTCTTTCAATATCCTTTATTGCCGGTCTTTGAAACTGCCTGAAGGTCTGACCCTTACACGTCAGGAGAATCTTCTACTAACTGCACACCTACCTGCCGAATTCCTAACCTTGTGTAGTTGCTGTTGTAACAACAGTAGAACTCGTTGGTAGGAATCGGTCGGAGGTTTGTCCAGCAAACATTCGCACCAGCGCAAATATTTAGCGGAGCCAATGTGAAGATTTCAGGTAGAAGAAGGGTTGCCTTTATTTTCCACCTGCAGGCTTTCAAGACATCCCTTTTCCACCTCTTGTCCCTCAAATTCCAAATTCCAGGCTTTTGAGTTTCATGGTGGGCGTTTCAGTGGACTGACAGCAGCTAACGGGGAAGCCGAAGTATTAATGTAGAATTTTTGTTAAGCAGGGAAGTGGGGAGAGATCAGGCAGCTGCCTTTGTCCAACGCTGGCGTTTGCTCATAGCTCAGACATTCCTCAGACATTTCACACAATGACAGCCAGGCAGGAAAAACGGGGTGACTTTGGGGAGCAGGTGATTTCTGCTCCCCTCCTTTCTTTCAACAGATCCTGGAAGGTCCAGCCTGAAGCAGTTTTGGGGGGGCTTTGAAGAACCTGGGAGGGAGGGAGGGGAACTGGCTTGGTCATCGGCTAAGTTCCCTTGTTAACCGACAAGTAGGTTTTCTTCTGAAAACATGCTCAGCATGACAATCGGAGCTCTTTGGTACTTTGAGATGCTGTGCGTAGCCGGTCTGGATCTCGCGCTTCCTTACTAGGTGGAGGAAACCGGTAGCAGGGGGGTGCCACTTGAGGGAGCAGCAAAGCAGAGCTGCAGCCGGCTTCGTGCCCGGTGGATGCATTCGGCTTTCAGGCTCAGTATTTCGTCCAGTTTCATCAGACAGTCCTCAAATTCCTAACAGGAAAAAGGAATGGCAAGAAATAAAGACAGTGGGGTTGAAATGTGGCCAGACTCACTTAACCAATGTCTCACTTAACAACAGACATTTTGGGCTCAACTGCGGTCGTAACGCAAGGACTACCTGTATGATGATATTTTGTGGTTGAGGTTTCCATTTTTATTGCTTCAGAAATAGTCGTCTTTTAGGACTTTCGGGTTTTCGTGCTGGGAGCCGTTTCGATACGAGACGGGTGGCAAATAAATTTAATCAACGAATCAACGAATTAAAGGCACCCAGGGAGAAAAATGGGAGAGGGGTGACCATGCTGCTCTTCGGAGCCCGTCGGAGAGGGGAACTCCGGAGAGGTTTTGACAGCCTTCCTCTTCTGGGTGTTGACTTCAATGTTTGGAAGAAATCCCCTTTACAAACCCTCGTAACCTGTGCTGTCGTACGTCAGAGGTCCCCACAACCTTTCCGGTGGGGGAGGGAAGAGAGGATGGTTCCACACAGGTGGCCTGGGAATGTGCTTGCGTGTGAAGCTCCATTTGTGCGCAAGCTGCCACTTGTGCAAATGGCATTTTGCCCTTAAACAGCCCGGTTCCTAACGGGCCACGGCCTGGTACCCGAGTCATGGGCCGGGGATTGGGGACCCCTGGTCTAAGTCATACCATGGTGAGTCATGAGGACCCACCAAGCAAAGGTCAGCTTTGAGAGGCCTGGAAGCCCCTTCGGAAGACTCACCAAGTCTGACATCATGCCCATCAAGCTTTCCTCCCGAGAAGACAGGGCGGCCATTTCGTCCAGCTGCTCCTGATGGGTTAGAAGAACCAGCTGCCTGCTGGAGACAAAGGAAAGGGAGCCCTCTGACCAAAATGCCTTATGGGGGACTCCTCGACTTAACATTTAGAGACCGTCCGAAGTTATGACAGCAGTGACTTAGGACAGGTGTCAACCCGGAAACTGACCTGCCACACTGGAGCGGAGGGATAGGGAGGGGGGGGGATCTGATTTAGGTAGGACTCTGTAGCCAAAACAAAATACTTTCTCTTGGGAATCAAGGACATTCTCACACCTGGTTGGAAGAAGGAGGGGGATGTCACCAAGCAACCAGACAGAGCTGTGATTGGACCATGTGACTGACTGTTTTGAGAAAGTGGAAAACGGGAACCCTCGGAGTCGGTTTTCATCAGATATGTGCCAATAGAATATTTCCAATAAAGCTACCCTTTGAGGAATCCACCTGCCTCAGAGTTTTGCTTGCAAGGGATCTATTACTGACCCTTTGAGAGCTGTATGCATCAAAATTTCATTTTAATGTATGGCAATTAGTGTATATTCAAAGCAACAATAAAGTTATTCTCTCTCTCTGTCTGTCTCTCTCTCTCTCTCTATCTATCTATCATCTATTTACTCACCTTCCCAGCATGTCCTTCTCCTTCAGGGCGCCTTCAGCCAAATCCACCTGCCCACAAGCCTTCTGCGAGTTCTCTTCAGTCTCAGCAACCGTCCCTTTGGGTTCAGTCCCCGAATCCTGCTCCGTGTCCTCACAATTGTGCATATGCTGGGTTTCTTCCTTCCTGCAGGCTTCCTCCGAATGCTGCAGCTCCACAGTCCTGTGGGATGAATCTGACTGTGATGGGGGTTCTCGTTCCGAGAACTCTTTGTTTCCTGCATTATCAGAACTGGACAAAGCATTTGGAGTGGAAGATATCCCTCCCTTATCAACCGGGCTGGACGGGGCCAAGAGCACAGGAGTCTCTTTTGCCCCCAAACTCAGATGATCCGAATAGCTCCACGAAATGGCAATCTTTGCCACTTCAGGATCGGAGTCATAGAGAGTCGAATATTCGCTTGTTTGTAGGTTTCCACAAAGTGAGGCCATTTCCTCCGTGTGTCGAGGAAAGAGTTCGGCCAGAGGGTCTTCACTAGCGTAGCCACAAACACATTCACCAAAAGCCAATGTGGCTTCCAAGATGGAAGCATCCCCTGGACAGTGACAAGACTGAGGGAGCCACTGGAATTTGGCCCCTGGAGAAAGACCCAGCTCGGTTTTTCTCCCCCAGTGATTTATTTCGTAGATGCTGGACGCAGAGGGTTGCCTGCTTTCATGAACGTGACCGGCGTCTTCCTCCCAGCGGCTGCTGGGGCCAAGGACTTCTTCTTCGTCGGTCCTCTTCTTCCCTTGATTCTCTGCTGATCCCGAGTTAAGGAAGGATACGGACAAAGGAGTCACCGTGTCATCAGCCAGGTCCATGGGAAAGTCTAACGCTCCGCGGAAGTCTCTCCCTTTAGGGAGACCCGTTTTTTCCGAAAAAGGGGGCTCCAGCAAGATGGCAGCGAGAGGTGGACTTGGTGTTCTCTTCCTTGGTGGGGAAAAGTGTCCGTCGGGGCAACCGTGAGACGGATCCGAAGATCTGGGCGGCTTCTGCTCAACGGGCCATCCTTGAGAATGTATCTTGTGGCCTGTAAGGCCGCCTTCCTTCGAGCAATAAGGTTTCTCCGGGATGCCTCTGTGCGGGGAAGAGCCCACCGCTGATATTTCTCCTGGGCTCCAGTCACATAAATCTCTACCGCCTTCTTCGTAGCTGCTGGACTCTTCCTCACTTGGGAAGGCTCTTCCTCCCTTCTCAAACGCGTACCATTTACAGAACAGCTCCTGCTTGTCTTCTCCGTCCCTTTCTCCAGCCCCGAAGTCTCTCCGATGGAGGAAAAAGGAATTCTGGTTGCTTTGTTTTCGAGCTTCCCTCTCCACCTTTTTCCGACCTGGCCCGGGAGAGAAAGAGTCCTCGCTGAAGTCGCTGTCGTCCAATTCCTCCAGCTGCATGGTTTCATCCCGGCCTTGAGAGGAGACGGAGTCAGGGCCGGGGGACTCTGGCCTCACCTGGATCTCCTGGGACTTGTACCGCGCTAAGACCTTTTCCAAGGGCTGGTAGTTTAATTTCTGCTGGAGGAGAGGCGGTTGCTGGAACTGCTGGTGATAAAGCCTCAAGTGCTGTTCTCGGTCTTTCTGATGGGAGGAAACGCCCGTCCAGGCGGCCACGCACTGATCCGCAAAGAGCCTCCCGGGATCTTCTTCGTCATCTGAGCCGTGATGGGAAAAATCAGCCCTGGAAACCAGTTGCTTTTGCACTGGTTCGACTTTCGGACATTTCCCCCGCTGCCTGTCCTCCTGGCCGCCTTCTCTCCTGGCCGCCAAGTCCTTCCGGAGATGGCTTTTCTCCGAAGTTATTGCAGGTTCCTCCGCCAGCTTCTTGGATGACGACTCTGCCTTCGGGATCTCTCTTTCTGCGCTGGGACAACCGGGCCACGGAGTTCCCAAAGGTTCTTTGCGCCCCTGTCCTTTCGGAGTGGAGGAGAAAGGAAGGTGAGCTGGCTGAAAGAGCAAAGAGGTCTTCGTCTTGGACAAGGGGGTCGGCATCAGAGGGTGATGCAACCCCAGCTTGACTTTTTTGGGAGAGCTCTTCCCTCCAACTTGGATGTAAGGAGAATTCTGGATACGCTTAGGAGATGTGTGTCCTGCTGCCCGGGGTCTGCTGGCAATAGGGGTGCAAGATTTCATCCCTCTCTTCAGCTCTTTTACCCTGACAACAAAAAAGCCAAGAGTTATATTATTTATTTGTATATCAAGCTTCTTAACGACCCATTTCCCTCAAAGACGGGCTCAGGTCATCCTGAAGGGTTTCTAGGCAACTTTTCAAAGATGCTTGTTATGGCCTGTCGGCCGCCGGCCCCTCCAGCAGTCAAGTCAGAGGAGGAGGAGGCATGGGAGTCAGGGCCAGCATCAAGGCAACCTGAGAGCTCCGAGGGGGAAGAGGGAATGGAGCTGTCAGAGAGAGAGAGAAAGAGGTGGAGTCTGGGCCCTCCGTCAGCCCTCAGATGGAGAGTCAACAGCCCCCAGGTCTGGAGGTGGCTGATGAGGAAGAGGAGGAACAGCTGGGTCCAGTTCCTGAGACACAGATGTGCAGAGGAGAGGAGAGCAGTGGAAATCTATGAGCCGGTCCTTGGGATGGAAGAGCTACCAGTGCTAGCCAAGCCCCACCCTAGCTCTGGGGATAAAAGGCACTGGGTGGGGATGTATAGATGTGGCAGACAACTATTCTTCTCCCTGCCGGATGGACTTCTTAGCTTGCAGTGAGAGAAACGTTTTGCCAGGGCTGCCAGCGCTCCTAATAAAGCAATCTTGGAGTTAACTTTTGTTTGTCATGTTTGGGGAACTGGGTCAGAATGGCTGCATTGGCTCAAGGCGAGATGCTTATGAAGAATAAAATGCAGCGCCCATTGAGTGCAATCACAGCTCTTCAACCAGAATGAACAGCTGTCAGGGTTAGGGTTAGGGTCAGGATGCCAACAAGTTTGTAAGATTTTAGGCAAGGAAAGAAAAATCGGTAAGAGATTTGCCAAGCTCCAGGTTTCCCAAGTGTTTCAGACATGTTTGAGCCCTTTGAAGCTGACCAGGTTAGGAAACAGACTCCACAAACATCCTGGAATCTCGGCTTCCTGTGGCCCCCCACGAAAGCTGGAGATCGGAGCTAGTAGCATTCTAAGTAAGATATCCCGCTGGCCAATAGAAGCCTGGCAGAGAACAGCCTATTTGCAGACCAGCCTGACCACTTGATCGTTTGGACTGTGATGGTGAACTTTTGGGGCATGGAGCGTCAAAAATTCAGAAAATGCTGATGTATTACAGATAAAAGAAGCTCGCTCCTTCCTCCCTCCTTTTCTTTTCTCCCTTCCTTCTCTCCACTCTTTCCCTTCCTCTTTCTCTCCTATCTTCCATCCTTTCCTTCCTCCCTCTTTTTATTCCTCTCCACTTTCCTTCTTCCCTTCCTCCTCCTCTTCTGCCCTGCCTGCCTTCCTCTCCAGACCCTGTAGAAGTCACACAAGAGGGCTCTGAGACTCTCAGAAAATCACGTGACTCAGATGCTTCAGAGGCTGCAGGAGAAGGACAAGGCCAACTTCCAGAGGGTCCAGAGGCCTGCTGTGAAACCAAAAATGCATGGGGGTAGGGGGGGCACCTGTGGCTCCCGTGACATAGACCCGCCATGACTGATTTAGATTCTTATCTGGATGTCAGCCAGTTCTGCCACTTACCTGTCCGCATAGCGCAAGGTATTTAAGGTGTGCTCCGTGGCCAGGTGGCTGGGTGACACGTTGGCAATCATGCACGTCTTGGAGTTGCCAACAAAAGAGTCTTTCAGGACCTTGAGTGGGGAGAGAAGAGAGACAGAATTATTTTAAGCTCTTTGGTATATTAACTACAAACAGTCCTCGACGTACAACTACAGCGGAGCCCAAAATTTCTGTTGCTAAGTGAGATGTCTGTTAAGTGAGTTTTGCTCCAGTTTACGACCTTTCACACCGCAGCTGTTAAGTGAATCACTGCGGTCGTTAAGAGAGTAACACTGTTGTTCAGTGAATCTGGCTCCCCCATTGACTTTGCTGATCAGGTGGTCGCAAAAGGGGATCATGTGACGAGGGGTGAAATCCAATTATTTTTACTACCGGTTCTGTGGGCGTGGGTTGGTAGGCGTGGCAGGGGAAGGATACTGCAAAATCCCCATTCCCTCCCCACTCCTGGGGGAAGGATATTGCAAAATCCCAATTCCCACCCCACTCTGGGGCCAGCCAGAGGTGGTATTGGCCGGTTCTCCGAACTACTCAAAGTTTCCGCTACCGGTTCTCCAGAACCTGTCAGAACCTGCTGGATTTCACCCCTGCCTGGGACGCTGCGACCGTCATAAATATGATTCAGTTGCCAAGCCTCTGAATTTTGATCACGTGACCATGGAGATGCTTACAACGGTCATAAGTGTGATACAGTTATAAGTCACTTTTTTCAGTTGCATAACTTTGAATGGTCACTAAACGAATGGTTTTAAGTCAAGGACTACCTGTAGACCTTATTCAGCTTGAAACCTCGGGAAGAGGCACAATATCAGATGAGTAACACAGCAACAATTAAGATATGCTCACCAAATATTTAGCCATGTAGAGTTCTGGGACTACACCTCGCCCATTAGCGGGAACATTTCAAAATTACCGCCCGGATGCCTTTGCACAATGCCAGGCGGCTATTTTCCTGAATTCTTGGCCCTGTTGAACCCAGGTCCCTAACGTGGCTGCCTAGAACTCTGTTCTTTGCCCTTGTCCCTTATTCTGCAATCTGGAATGTCTCAACCTTCTTATTTGCAACTATCTACTACTCTGACAACTGCCAGTTAAATTAATAACTCGGTTGTTGAGTGAATCCAGCTGTTGTGACCTAGGCTTCCTGAGTCATTAAAACACACAAGTAGTCCCCAAAACCTCTTTTATTGCAACAGCTGTGAATTACTTTCACGGCTGAGTCCCAAATTAGTTGCAAAAAGTCCTTCGGGATAATCACCAACCTTTATCTCCCTTTTCACACTGCCAAAGACCTACTTGGCAAAGCCCCACGGAGTCCAGAATCAAAGAGAGATGCCGACTAGGAACAGAATTAACAACATTCTTTCCTGCAAAGGGCCCACGTGCCTTTGCTCCTCTTTTAAGCCTTATGGGAGGGGCCAATCATCTCCAGGCCTTACTCCCGAGTCGCCCCTTTAGTTTTAACTCTTCTTGCCTTCTGGCAGCTCTGCGCATGCGTGCACTGGGAACAGGCTCCTCCTGTTCCTCTGCCTCTCTGCTGTCCGACTCTGGAGACTCCGGAGTCCGCACATCACTCCCAGATGGCCCTGGTCCCATCTCTGCCTCCGACGCAGAGCCCTCGTCCGAGCCTTCCCCAGACTCCAGGACTGGCTCATGTTCCTCCCCAGCCTCCTCACTGTCCGACTCCGCTGCCAGCTCTGCAGGCTGCTGGCAGACCACAACACCAGCTTCTCTGTTGATTCTGCTCATCAGAAGGTTGCAAAAAGGGATCACATGACCCCGGGACACTGAGACCGTCATAAGTACATGCCAGTTGCCAAGCGTCTGAATTTTGATCATGTGACCACGAGGGTGGCGCAACGGTCGTAAGTGTGAAAACTGGTCATTAGTCACTTTTTGCAGTGCCGTTGTAACTTTGTACCATAGTCTCTCGAGACTGAAAGATGCCGATGAGAATGATGTAACTAAATGAACTACCTATCAAGGACTACCTATACTTCTTGGTTATTTCACGTTTTCAATTTTTTGGAAAAAGAGAGAGAGAGAGAGAATTTTGTAGAATTTGGGGGGAAGTCGAGTCAGTCCCCAGTCTTACCTGGGTCAGTTTGCTTTGTCTGAAGGGGGTGTGAGCGTGTTCTTGATCGAGCGCACGGATGCATTCTTTCAGCTAGAGAGACAGAAGAGAAAAAACCTATCACACAGGAGTCTGCCCATCAGCACGGAGATGGAGCCGTTTTCTCACAAAACCAGGCTGAACCCCACCATCCAATATCCCAAAGATATGAGGGGGCGTTGCAATGTGTGTCACCCAACTTCCTGCAAGAGCTCCCTCAAGGTCTTTCCTTCATAGGTCAAGGGGGTTAGGAGGGAAGAGAAAGTCTCTCGCTCAGGGCTCAACTGTGGGCTCCTTGGTGCTCTCTGAGCTTGGTGGTTTTCTGGCAGATGTTTCATGACCCAAGTAGGTGACAACATCTGTGCTAGAAAGGAGTGGGGTTTGCGGAGGGGCGGAGGAGGAGGAGGGGAAGGACTGTGGGGCCCCTTGGTGCTCTCTGAGTTTGGTTATAGCTTGTCCTGTCAGTGATGGTGGGAGCATTCCTGATGGTTCCTTGATTACACGTCACTTGTATATAAACAGAGAGCTAGCCCTACTCCTTTCTAACACTGATGATGTTGCCTAGTTGGGTAATGAAACATCTGCAGGAAAACCATCAACTTCAGAGAGCACCAAGGACTCCACACAAGGGGTTAGAGCAGGGGTGTCAAACTAGCAGCCCATGGGCCGGATGCGTCATGCACAGGCCACGCCCACCCCAGCTCCGCAAATGGGAAAAATGTCACGAAACGTCACGCGATGGCACGTTTGACACCCGTGTGTTAGAGTAACACTCTCGCTAGCTATGAGTGCTTTTGATCAGCAGGACAGATCTTTGCTTTCTTTTCCCAAAACTTCTGGTGTTCGGGTTTCTTTTTCTTGTAAATAATCGTTCTTTGTAAGTTACCTCTTATGTTTCCTCCCCCCCCCCCCATTTGAACAGGTTCCTTCCTTCTCCTGATTTTTTTTCTTTTTTTTTTTTTAATTTGATTTATATGCCGCCCTTCCCCGGAGACTCAGGGCGGCTTACAATGTGTTAAGCAATAGCCTTCATACTTTTGTATATTTTATACAAAGTCAGCTTATTGCCCCCACAAACTGGGTCCTCAATTTACCCACCTTAGAAAGGACGGAAGGCTGAGTCAACCTTGAGCCTGGGGAGATTCGAACTTACAGTAATTGCAGGCAGCTGAATGATTTCATCAAAATATTATTGCACTAATTTTTAAAAACTGAAATTATTTCAGTTTTTCCTGCTTGTATGAATATAGGAAACTGCTTCCTTTCTGACTTCAGAATCAGATCAGTTTAACTCAATAGGCTGGAAATCTCGGTCTCGTATCACCAGAGCCAGAGGGATGAAATTTATACTCTGCTGAGCTGGACGGATCTTTCCAGTGGCAGCTGTTTTTCAGACAGGGCCCTTTCCCATCCTAACCCAGGGATATGCAAGTCAGAAGCCAGATCTGGATCTCCAGCATGGTCTTTTGAAGCTTGCTTGCTCTCAGCTGCCAAAGAAACGGGGAGGAGGGCATGGCATTTGGGTTGGGAAAGGAAGCTGGTGTGTAGTAGTCCCATGAGAACAGAAAAGCAGTTTTGCACCCATGAATTATGGCACTGCTGAGTGGAGTTGTTTATACTTCTTCAAGGCCAACTGTCCTGAGGTGCCAGATGCGAGAAATACCTGCAGAGGAGCTTTCCTGTATCATCTTACTGGACATTGATTGGCTGCTCAGTGCTGGACCCTGGGGGGAGGGATTTGGGGCGACTTTCAATGTGTAACATTCACCTGCTTTGGTTCAGATCTTGCCTTGCTTTCGCTGCTATCAGTTCAAACTTAGTAAAAGTACCTCTTCTCTAAACAAAAGGAGTTGGGGTTTTTCTTTCTTAGGATTTGAATGGAGGCAGTCCTGACACTAGGCAAGATCTGCTTTATCAGCCAACCTGGAGACTCTAGTCTACTGTGGGGGCTGAGCACTCTATGTCAACCCACAGGAGCGAACAGGAGGAGCCCGGAGCCCGGAGAGCAACCCTTCCTCAGCCGCACCGGGTTCAAGATGAAGCAGAGAGGTTGAGGGATTGGAACTTGAGAAGCAACTGGTCCGAGCCAGATGGTCACTGAGTATAAGATGGGGGTGACTTTTACTGGAGGGCAAAGAGGATCCCGCAGAGGGGCAAGGAGAGCTTGGCAAAATCCCCCAGCCCGGCCCTGACCAAACAAACACTTGAGCCACGAAGTGCAGCCTTCAGAAGAACTCAGCAGGGAAGAACCTGCGTTTACTTACTGCTAGAAGACTCTGGTTGATTTCTGCTCCTTCCATTTTTGTCTGTCGGTCAGAGTCCTTGGCATCAGCTGCCCTCTCGCTGCCAGCCAGGTCAATAAACGAGATTCTGGGAGACAAGGTTTGTGGGTTAATGTTTATCTGCCCAATGGAGTTTTACTTCTCGCACAGTCAGGTAGAATTTACTAGGAAACAGGGATTTGCTGAAGGATCCTGAAGTACATCTCAAAAAAAAATTATACTCTTTGATTCAATATTTCAAGGAAGATACAATAACCAATCAAAGCAGTACAGGGCCAGCTCAGGAGAGAAAACCAGAAATTAAATGGGGACATGGCCTGCTGCCAAAATGTTTGGGCCACCTTCTGATGATCTACCATTATGTAGAAACAGACTGTGTGATCTCCTAGAATGCATTTAGAAATGTAAACGACTAGCTACGTTGAGCTGAAGTTCAGGTGTTTAAGCTACCTACGTGTGCTGAAGGAACTGGCAAGGATGCCCAGCCAGCTTACACCTTTTAAGACAGAAGAGGAGGTTCAAGGAAAGCCTGTTATATCCCCTTCTTCTGTGCTCACCTCCCAAACACTCTGTTTGCAGGGTCTTTCATCTGAATCTGGATAATGGCATGGGACCGGGAAGAATCAGAGTTGACTCCAGTCGCTCCTGTGCTGCGCTCCTTCCCTCCTTTCAGAATAACCTGGGGGTGGAGGGGGTCAAAAGCAGAGAAATAAGTACAAGGGAGCGGGAATTGCACAGTAATAAAATTGTGGGATCCTTCGTGTTCCTTGAGCTTGGCTGTTTTCTTGCAGACATGACCCAATTAGGTAAAAGTGCAAGAAAGGAATGGTATTTGCTCTCGGTTTATATAGAAGTGGCTTGCCCTGTCAATGTGGGCAAAGAGGGCAAACCCCTTTCCCTTCTAGCATGGATAATGTTATCTAGTTTGGTAGTAAAATGTCTGCAGGAAAGCAACCAAGCTCAAAGAGCACCAACCACCCCTCATTTCTATCTATCTATCTATCTATCTATCTATTCATTCAATTTGTATGCCGCCCCTCTCCGAAGACTCAGGGCGGCTCACAATGCATTTAAAATCATTATAAAAAACATTTAAAAATTAAAAACATTAAAAACATTAAAAGTCATTCACACCATTCATGGCCGGATCTTACCAGATCACAAGAGCGAGATCAACGGCCCCAGGCCTGCCGGAAGAGCCAGGTCTTCACCGCTTTTCGGAAGGCCAATAGGTGGGGATGGTCCGGACCTCAGGAGGTAACTGGTTCCAGAGAGCTGGGGCAGCCACAGAGAAGGCCCTCCCCTGCGGGCCCACCAGCCGGCATTGTTTAACTGACGGGACCCGAAGGAGACCAACTCTGTGGGATCTTACCGGTCGTTGGGAGTTATTCTGTAGCTCAATCCTGAGCTACTAATGTTCTCTTCTATTGGTTGGTTTCTCTTTCTCTCTCCCCCTCATCTTAATATTAGACCAACAATCAAGCAATAAAAGAACAGCCTAATCAAGGAACCACCAAGAACCCTCCTACCAAATTCCTCTTCTTCTAGTACTGTTGATGATACACGTGTTTCCCCGAAAATAAGACCAGGTCTTATATTAAATTTTGCTCCAAAAGATGCATTAGGGCTTATTTTCTGGTTTGGTCCTATTTTCAGGGCAATACAGTACTAAAGACGTCTGTCTGGCCGACAATCTTAACTGGGGCTTATTTTTTGGGGGTAGGGCTTATATTATGAGCATCCTGAAAATCATGCTAGGGCTTATTTTCCAGTTGGGTCTTATTTTCGGGGAAATCCGGTATCTAGTTTGGTAGTGAAACAACTGCAAAGACACAATCAAACTCAGAGACTACCAAGGAGATCATACTGATCACTATTATGGGATGTCATTGTCAAGCATGAGGAAGATCTGAGACATGGGGTCTTCCCAAGCCACTCCTTCTTCTTCAACTTTCAGTCCCTCTCCCTCCCACCACCCCATTGTGCCTCCAGTGCAGTTCAGCTTCTCCAAATTTTCCCTTCTTGTCCTCACTGGTGACTTCTTTCTCAAAATTCATCTGGTGAGGTAGGAGGTGTGAGAACAGCAAGAGGGTGAAGACAAAGTTTCCTATTACCATAAACAGAAGAAGGTGTAATAGAATTCTACAGGGTCAAAAATTACCTCCAGGAGCAAGTTGACCGTGTTCACATGGACCTCGCGCAGCCCAACTATTTGAACGACATGCTTACTATCTTCCCTTGCAAAAAGCCTGCAGAGAAACCCTCAGAGATTAGTAAAGGTACTTGGAAAGAGGTGCGGCAAGCGCTCTAAAAATAAACTTTGAAAAAGTATTGGTTACCATCTCTATGGAGATTCTCATTCATCCAGATCATGGTTGTCCCAAAGGTGCTTTTTCAAGAAGCTTTTTTTCTTTGAAGACGTTTTGCTTCTCATCCAAGCAGCTTCTTCAGCTCTGATTGAAGAATTTCCCTTCTTTCAGAACAGATGAAGCTTCTTGGATGAGAAGTGAAATGTCTTCAAAGAAAAAAAAACCATAAAGTCCAGTTGCCTCTTGAAAAAGCACCTTTGGGACTATTGGTTACAATGATTTCCCATGAAATATGGTCTAAGCATATTAAAACATTTCATCTATTTGGAAATTATTCTGACATACCATAAAGGAATAACCAGTCAGCAACAGTATTTATTAATAAGGAAATACAGCTAGTCCTTGACTTACAACCATTCATTTAGTGACCACTGAAGTTTCAACTGCACTGAAAAAAGTGACTCCTGACCATTTTTCACATTTTTGGAGCTTCTCAGTAGCCACCTGATCAAAATTCAGAGGTTTGGCAACTGGCATGTACTTATGACTGCTGCACTGCCCACGGGGTCACGTGATCACTGCTTGTAACCTTCCCAGCCAGCTTCCAACAAGCAAAATCAATGGAGGAAGCTGGATTCGTTCAACAACCAGGATTCATTTAACAACGGCAATGATTCATTTTAACAACTGTGGCAAAAAAAAGTCATAAAATGGGAAGCAAAACTCACTTAACTGCCTTGCTTAACAACAGAAATGTTGGGCTCGTGTCGAGGATTGCCTGTGCTGATTGGGATGGTGATGAAGCAAAAGACAGAGGCGAAAAGTTGCATTTTACCTGACTTCTAAATGTTAACAAGAGGAATAAAGAATTGCTACTTGTGGGACGTTGAATGAATCGACCTCCACTCTCAAAAAGACACACTGGTGTCCCTGAAAGATGTGAAGCTCAGGTAGTCCTCGACTTACGACTTCAATCGAGCCCAAAATTTTGGTTGCTAAGTGAGATATTTGTTAAGTGAACTTTTCGCCATTTTTTTTAAAAAAAATATTATTCATATTTCTATGCCACCCACTCTCCGAGGACTCTGGGCGGCTTACACCAAAGACAGTATACTAAATAGCATATTGCCCCCCAACAATCTGGGTCCTCATTTTACCCACCTCGGAAGGATGGAAGGCTGAGTCAACCTTGAGCAGCTGAGATTTGATCCACTGATCTGTTGAACTAGCAATCAGCTGAAGTAGCTGTAGTACTGCACCCTAACCACTGCGCCACCTCGGCTCTCTATTTTACACTCTTTCTTGCCACAATTGTTAGAATGGAATGGAATCGAATTCTTTATTGGCCAAGTGTGATTGGACACACAAGGAATTTGTCTCTGGTGCATAAGCTCTGACTGTTCATAAAAGCTAGAAGTGATAAATCATGATCATAGTCATCGTAAAAATACATTCATCATAAATCATAAGATACAACACAGTGATAGTCATAGGAGACTAAATAAGCCATCAAAATCATACTAGGAAACTAAATAAAACAATATAAATCGTAACGATACAAGCAACAAAGTTATAGTCATAAGTAGAAAAGGAGAGAGGTAATAGGAGAGACGAGAAGAAGAATAGCAATACAGCCTTAGTAAATAGTTTGACAGTGTTGTGGGAATGAGTTGTTTAGCAGAGTGATGGCATGGGGGTGGGGGTGGGGAACTGCCCTTGTGTCTAGTAGTTCTGGTGTGCAGGGCCCAGGGGTGAAATCCAGCAGGTTCTGAGAGGTTCTGGAGAACTGGTAGCGGAAATTTTCAGCAGTTCGGAGAACTGGCAAATACCACCTCTGGCTGGCCCCAGAGTGGGGTGGGAATGGAGATTTTGCAGTATCCTTCCCCTGCCATGCCCACCAAGCCACGCCCACAGAACCGGTAGTAAAAAAATTTGGATTTCACCACTGGCAGGGCCCTATATAGCGTCGTTTTGACGGTAGGAGTTGAAACAATTTATGTTAAGTGGATAACTGCAGTTGTGAAGCAACAGAGTGAATCTTGCCTCCCCATTGAATTTGCTTGCAAAAGGGGATCACATGACCCCAGGACACTGCAACCATCATAAATATGAGTCAGTTGCCAAGCGTCTCAATTTTGACCTCGTGACCACGAGGATGCTGCAACGGTCCCAAGTGTGAAAAATGGACAGGCCACCTTTTGTTCAGTCTTGTTGTGACTTCGAACAGTCATTAAATGAACTGTCATAAGTCAAGAGCTATATTAAACACAACAAGCAAGTTGCACAACTCTGCACACATTCATTAAAAAAAAAAAGCGAGCTAGTCTCTCTAGCTTTGTGGGGCCTTCCGTGAAGCTGTCATTCCACCGAACTTCCATCTGATTTAGGTCATATTCCATCCCCAAAAAAGCCACGTGTCCCCAGAGTTAAAATACCTCTTTCTTCCATTTAGCAGATCATAAAGCTGCCCGCAGTAGATCTCATAAAAGCTGATCCAGACATGGAGATCTTTCCTAGCCGGAGTTGTTTCCAGTTGCTTGAAGATCTCTTTAGCAGCCAAGGCATAGAGGCCGGGGGTTTTATAGGTGCCAAACATGGTGTAGGTTTTCCCTGCCCCTGTCTGTCCGTACGCAAAGCAGGTGGCATTGCCTCTGCAACCAAGGAAAGATTAAAAATAATAACAATGGCTCAACCCGTAAACCAGGGGATTGAGGGCAGCAGTTGGTTTGCCTACCACAATCTCATCTGAAGGTTAAATTCACGGCGTACTTGTGCTGATGGCTTCCCCGGCCTCGTGCATTAAATTCACTCGAAATTAGAAACATCCTTCTCTCTCGGGTCCTGGGATAAATGCAAGCTATCAATGGTTTTCAAAGGCTGGGTTGTGCTAATGCCAGAATTATAGAGAGCAGAATTCTCTCTATAAGAGAGCCTCGGTGGTGCAGCGGACTAAAGTGCTGTTAAGTGCTAGCACTTAGCTGACAGTTGCCTGCAATTAGTGCGAGTTCGAATCTCACCAGGCTCAAGGTTGACTCAGCCTTCCATCCTTTCGAGGTAGGTAAATTGAGGACCCGGATTGTGGGGGCAATAAGCCAGCTTTGTATAGAACAACACCGCTTAGGGAGGGGCCGAAAGCCCTACTAAGCAGGTATATACAAAAAAAGTATACAGGCTATTGCTATAATGCATTGTAAGCCATCCTGAGTCTACAGAGAAGGGTGGCATATAAATTGGACTAATAAATAAATAAATTCTTTGCTCTCAATGTGGTGAAGCTTCTAGTTTAGGAGTTTTTGCAGGGGCACCGATGTAATATGAGTCCTCAGGGAGAAGGGGGGTATACAAATTTAAAAATAAATAAATAAATAAATAAATATACAGCTACAACTCTCTAAAGGAGCTGCACCTTTTGCTGGGAGGGCACAGGGGTGCAGACAGGGGTTACAACTGGGCCCAGTGGGAACACCTGCCTGCAGCTGTGCCTTTCCCAGCAAAAGATGCAGCTCCTTCAAAGAGTTGTAGTATCCCAAATAGGACACAAGCTTATTACATCACTGTGTGTGGCAGCAAAGAGGAGACAACTCTCGTACTGAAGAAGGCCCACGGAGTGTCCTGAAAGCTCCATCCACATCGCTTCCTTTTGAAGTGCTGGATCAGTCGTCCCCAAACTGCTCCTCTTGCGAAAATTAAACTTCAATTCTCAAAAATCACTCGAAAACGGAAAAGACTGCTGAACTGGAGGGTTTGGAAGGCATAAGAATGCCTTCAAATTCAAAAATGCCATAAAGAAGGGGTGTGTGTGTGTGTCAATTCATTTTCCAAAGCACCAGGAGGATGGACAAGAAGCAACGGATGGAAACTCAATCAAGGAGAGAAGCAACCTAGATTTGAGGAGAAACTTCCTAACGATGAGGACAATTAACCAGTGGAACTGCTTGCCACCAGAAGTCATGGGTGCTCCATCACTGGAGAAAGACTGGACAACCCTTTGTCTGAAATGGTATAGGATCTCCTGCTTGAGCAGGGGGCTGGACTAGAAGACCTCCAAGGTCCCTTCCAGCTCTATTCTGAGTCTGAGTACTGAACACCAAGAAAGTTGAACAATAAAAATCAAGAAATATTCAACAAGGATACTCTACCCACTAAATACATGTTGAATAAGAGGATGGGCCGTCTTCATGTACACGTCTTGATTGGAACAGGACTCCCCAAAGACTTCGTCGAAATAAAACACATGCTGCAAACAACAGAAAGGACATTGAGTGCAAGAAAAAGGGTTTAATTCCTTTAACTAGGCATTCATTCAAAGTTATGAGGAGTTGGATCGTTCTGATAGGGCAAAGCCACATTAAACCCTCCAAGAAGCAGCACCATCAGCAACAGCAAATAGATATATAGGTGGGAAAAAATAACCTGTCTCATTTTATTTATCTATCTCAAGTAGATATGTCTAGGGAAGAAAGCAGTCAGTGTAGCTATAGAAAGAGATAATCTTAAAAAAGCAGTAGTATAGTTCATTGAATTGAACTAAGGTTGAGCTGTGGTAAAAATCACAAAGAAAAAATTTTCTTCCCCCCCCCACTTTTCCTCTCCCCCTGCCGTTCTTCCCCACCCCACCCCTTCTCTCTCCTTCTCCCTCTCTCTCCCCCTCCCTTTCCCCTGTCTCTCCCCATGCCCCTCTTCCCCTCCCCTCCCCTTTCCTTCTCCCACTCTCTCACCTCCCCTTTTCTCCCCCTTTTCTTCCCCTCCCTCTCCCCCTCCCCTCTCTTTTCCTCTCCCCTGCCGTTCTTCCCCACCCCTTCCCTTCTCTCCTTCTCCCTCTCTCACCCTCCTTTCTTTTCCCCTCCCTCTCCCCATGCCCCTCTTCCCCTCCCCTTCTCCCTCTCCCCCTCCCTTCTCCTTTCCTTTCCCCCCCTCTCTCATACCCCCTTCTTTTCTCCTTCCCCTTCCTTTCTTCCCCTCTGTCTCCCCCCTCTTCCCCTCCCCACTCTCTCTCCCACTCCCTCTCTCACTTACTCACTCACACACACAAACCTGCAAGATGTACTGTGTGAGATCCACGGCCTCTTTCTTCTCGTGGAGCAGAAGCGTTTCCTTGTCTTCCACCGTGAGGATGTTCACTTCTCCACGCCTCTCCTCTCGTAAACCGAGGGGGCGTTTTCGCACACACACACGGATCTTGTCCGTTTCGATCCATGGGGTCTCTTTCTCACCAGCAGTCGTTCTACACAAAGACAGGATTTCAAATGGGCTGTTATCATGTCATACAGGTGAAAACACGCAAAAGGATATGCATACAATTTTTTTTTTTAAATAGTGTTTAGAATCTCCAGTATCAACATTTTATTTTATTGTGGTAAACTTAATCTCTCATCAAATATATTCTCAACAGTGATTGTGAGAGGGATCAGAGTTTCTTAGTGGACAATCATTTAAATAGGAGCCAGCCGTGTGCTTCAGCTGCCAAAGAAGCCAACCCAGTCAGGGTTTCAATGTAAGAATTGGATAAGATGAAGTTTATTGTTTATAACCAAAAAATGTGATGGGGATTAAAAGAAATATACTTTATAAATGGAGAAATAAGATAATTAATTGAAGCAATGCTAAGAAATTAGGATTTGAAGGGTGGATGGTGATAATTTTTTTTTTTTTTTGCTTTAATTTATATGCCGCCCTTCTCCGGAGACTCAGGGCGGTTTACAATGCGTTAAGCAATAGCCTTCATACTTTTGTATATTTATACAAAGTCAGTTTATTGCCCCCACAATCCAGGTCCTCAATTTACCTACCTTAGAAAGGATGGAAGGCTGAGTCAACCTTGAGCCTTGGAGAGATTCGAACCAGCAGTAATTGCAGGCAGCTGTGTTAATGACAGGATGCTTAGACCACTGTACTATCAAGGCTCTTATAGGATACTGGATACTGTTTATACATTATGTATTAAGAAGAGATTAAGATAAGATAAAAAAGTAGAGAAAAAGAATATCACGGCAGAAAATGAAATACGTAAATTGTATTTGGAAAAGATAAAAAAGAAGATTGGAATAGATCATAAAAATCAACATATAATTATGTCATAAGTTGTAAAAGACATGACCCGGTCAATACCCTGTTCAGAAAATATGTATGTGAAAGAAAAATTTAATAAAACTTGTCTTTAAAAAAAAAGCCAACAGAGTCCTAGGCTGCATCAAGAGAGGGAGAGCATCATGGTCCTGAGAAGTGATGGTACCGCTCTGAACTGTACTAATGGGGCCACACTTGGAATAGTGGGTCAGTTCTGGTCACTACAATGCAAAAAAAAAAGATGCTGAGAATCTAGAAAGAAGGAAGGAAGGAAGGAAGGAAGGAAGGAAGGAAGGAAGGAAGGAAGGAAGGAAGGAAGGAAGGGAGGGAAGAGCCACAAAGCTGATAAAGGAACTGGAGGCTAAATCGTACAATGAAGAGTTGCAGGAACTAGGCATGTCTCTCCTAACTAAGAGAAGGTCCAGTGGAGATATAATAGCTGCCTTCCAGTACCTGAGGGGCTGTTTCTCGACCTATTCTCCAAAGCACCTGAGGGCAGGACAAGAAGTGACGAGTGGAAAATTATTAAAGAGCGATCCAATCTAGAAATAAGGAGAAATTTCCTGACAGTGAGAACAATTGATCAGTGGAAGGTTTTTAGAGGATTTTAAGAAGAGATTGGATAGCTATTTGTCTGAAATGGTACATGTTGATGAAGATTCTCAATTATCCCGGTCATGGTTGTCCCCAAAGATGCTTTTTTTCAAGAGGCAGAAACTGGAGTTTCTGGTTTTTCTTTGAAATTGTTTTGCTTCTCATCCAAGAAGCTTCTTCAGTTCTGACTGGATGGGGAATGGAAGGATTTATACTCCTTGATTTATACCTATTTATACATACTCAAGGGCCTTCCCCTTTCAAGGACCTTGAGTATAAGTATAAATAGGTATAAGTACGAATCAAGGAATATAAATCCTTCCATTCCCCACCATCCAGTCAGAGCTGAAGAAGCTTCTTGGATGAGAAGGAAAAAGTCTTCAAAAGAAAAAAAAAACAAAAAGTCCAGTTGCTTCTTGAAAAAAAAGCACCTTTGGAACTGAAATGGAATAGGGCAATGATGGTGAACCTTTTTTCCCTCAGGTGCCGAAAGTGTTCGCACGCGTGCCCACACCCATATTTCAATGTCCCTCCTGTGCCCCGCCTACCCGGACATCATCATGGACGCTCTGTGCATGCGTAGAGGTGTCTCACGCGCTCCCATTGGTGAACCGGTAGCGAAGGTAAGTGAATATCACTACTGCTCCAAGGTCCCTTCCAACTCTGTTCTCTATAGGAAGAACCTTAGTCATGAACAGAAATGCAAACGAAACATTATTACCTGGTGAGAGAATGAGGCACTCCGTAATTGTAGCCCGAGATATGAGCTACTCTCTGTACAAAGGAAATGTCCGCGTCTCCTAAAACATCATTAGATGAACTTGGCGCTGGGACCACCAGCTGGTCCTCTGTCCAGCTTGCGGATGCTTTTAAGGAGTCCTTCCTGGGTCTTTTGTGGACGGAATCAGGACCAAATCCCGCAGCGGCCTCCTCTTTACCCTCATTCGAAGAACTGTGAGATAAGGCGCACGACCCAGATTCAACCTCTTTTCGTTCCCCTTTTCTCTCGGAATCAAAATGAAGTTGTCTCCGTGGGCCGGAGCGAGTGAGCTGGGGTCGCAGGCGGCGGGCACTTTTCTGGAAATCTTCCTGTTTTTTCCTGACTGCTTCCTCTTCGGCCTGCAGCATCTTGATGATTCGAATGAGCTGGAAGAGACGCTTGCGGTCCTTCATGTTATGAACCCCGAGTTTGCTGTAATCCTTCATGGAGACCTTGGCAAGTTCGTCGATCTTCTGGAAGCCGAGGGCAGTAAAGTGCGGGTAATATTTTTGAAGTTCCGCCTCACAGAGGCATTCGTACAGACACGAGGCCATCTTCTTACTCACGGTGGCCTAAGTTGTCAAGAAAAGAGTTTCAGACAAAATTAAACTTTTGTATATCAAGACAGTGGCTTTTTTTTCTTCAAATTTTATTGATTATTTTTTTTTTTATTAATTACATTGCTTAATAAACATTGTGTTGTTTCGGTATTTGTTTGCGGGACAACCTTCTGCTGCCGATAGCCTCCCACCGACCAGTACGCTCCCACAGAGAGGGACTCCTCAGGGTGCCGTCAGCCAGGCAATGTCGGCTGGCAACCCCCAGGGGGAGGGCCTTCTCTGTGGCAGCTCCTGCCCTCTGGAACCATTTGTCCCCGGAGATACGAAGGATATCGGATCTCCGGGTCTTTCGCCGTGCCCTAAAAATTTTTCTTTTCCATCAAGCAGGGCTGACGTGAAACACGCCCCCCTTTTTTTTAGCCTTTTAAATTGTCAATGGGTTTTAGTTTGAATGTTTTAAATTTTGGGCAAAAGTCATATAATTCTTTTAAAAAATTTAAATTTTGTATTGGTATGTGTTTTAGTTCTGGCTGTGCACCGCCCTGAGTCCACTAGGAGAAGGGCGGGATACAAATTGAATAAAATAAATAAATAAATAAATAAATAAATAAATAAATAAATTTAATTTGCTTAAGAATTCTGACTATATTCTTGATCTCCAACCCTTTTTTCCAACCACTGGTAAGAGAGATTCCATGTTTGATAGGATTCTGTGTCTTCTTTCTGCTTAATTTTCAATATCAATCTATCCATTTCTGCACAGTCTAGTATCTTCTTAATTATCTCTTCATCTCTTCTTCATTTTTCAAATATTGTGCGAAGATAATCCTCGCTGCTGTTAAGACATGTAAAGAAAAGTACTTTTCTTATCAATTTTTTCTGATATTAAAAAGGTAAAGGTTCCCCTCGCACATATGTGCTAGTCATTCCCGACTCTAGGGGGCGGTGCTCATCTCTGTTTCAAAGCCGAAGAGCCAGCGCTGTCCGAAGATGTCTCCGTGGTCATGTGACCCAATGTCAAAAGCGCACGGAACGCTGTTCCCTTCCCACCAAAGGTGGTCCCTATTTTTCTACTTGCATTTTTTTACGTGCTTTCGAACTGCTAGGTTTGCAGAAGCTAGGACAAGTAATGGGAGCTCACCCCGTTATGCGGCACTAGGGATTCGAACCGCTGAACTGCCGACCTTTTGCTTGACAAGCTCAGCATCTTAGCCACTGAGCCACCACATCCCCCTTTTTCTGATATTATACCTAATAAAAACAATTCAAATCTACACAATTCTCTATCATCTTTTTTAGCCAACTGTGTATCTTTTCCCCATTTTTTTTTTTTTTTTTTTGTGCCCATCTTTTGGACTTTTTGAAATATGTGGTGGGGGATTCTAATCTCGTGCCAGTAAGTTGACTATAAATGCAATAACTTAGAAGGTTAGAGGTAGTCCAGGACTTTTAACAAATTGAAAGTTATGACATCTTGGAAAAAATGCCTTAGGCCTCATCCTTAAAGTTACAACCATCCTTTGATTGCAATTTGGGCACTTGGCAAATGGCTTGGGTTTACAAGGGTTGTAGCAACTTGCAGTCCCACCGCTGGGATCTGCGGCCTTCCCAGCCGGCTCCTAACAAGCAAACTCAATGGGAGAAGCCAGATTTGCTTAATGAGCACAAGTGTCAACCCTGAAGCTGACCTGACTGAAGCCATTTGGACAGCTTCAGTGTTGCCACCCTGGAGTGGAGGGATAGGGAGGGTGGGGGGATTTGAGATAGAGGGGATTCTGTAGCCAAAACAAAATACTTTCTCTTGGGAACCAAGGACATTCTCACACCTGGTTCGGAGGAAGGCGGAGTGATGCTACCCGGTTGCCCGACCACACCGTGATTGGACCATGTGACTGATAGTTTTGAGAAAGTGAAAAAGCTTTTACTTTTAATTAGGTGAAAACCGAGGGGACCCTCAGAGTCAGTTTTCACCAGGTAAGTGCCAATATGACAATTCTAAATAAAAGTAATCTTTGAAGAACCTACATGCCCCGGAGTCTTGCTTGCTATGGATTTATTACATGGAACTTAACAATTGCGTCGCTTAGTGACCAAAATTCCCATGCCAACTGCGGTCATAAATCAAGGATTACCCATTTATCACGACCATGGGAAAGTTCACAGGCGACAAAGCCCATTGTCGCACAATCCCCCAATGCCCAGTCTTCATCATTCAATTCTATAAAAAGGGCCAATATTTGTCAATACAGATAGTCCTCGACTTACAGCAGTTCATTTAGTGAAGGTTCAAAGTTACAATGCCACTGAAAAAAGTGACTAAGGACCATTTTCCACACTTACAACCTTTGTAGCATCTCTGTGATTGTGTGATCAAAATTCAGTTGCTGGGCAACTGGTTCATACTTATGACCGTTGCTGCGTCCCAGGGTCAGGTGATCCCCTTTTGCGACCTTCTGACAAGCAAAGTCAAGGGGGAAGACAGATTCACTTAACAACTATATTGCTAACTTATCAACTGCAATGATTCACTTAACAACCGTGGCAAGAAAGGTCGCAAAACATGGCAAAACACACTTAACAAATATCTCACTTAACAACAGAAATTTTGGCCTCGATTGTGGTCAAGGACTACCCTGTATTAAACAAAAAGTAATTTATACAATGTGAAAGCAATATAATACAGCGGAACACTTAGCCTTATGCTATTACTTGGAAATAGCATCCAGTAAATACCTTATAGGATTTCAGTGAAGTTAAACATCAGAACTAAATGGACAAGGAAATCCTATTTTTATTATGAACCCCAGCAGAATAAAAATGAAATAATATTTACAAATGTGGTTTTAAAAAAAACCCTCAATTGTTTTTAATACTACCCTGCAGCAGACTAACAATTAGGGAGTTAAAGTATAAAAGTTTGCCAAAGTTCCCCATAGACAAATGGATAATGCATACTGGAAATATAACTCAATATGATCTAGAAAGTGTCTAGGGCATATTTATACCCCTCATAATCTTTTTTTTCTTTATAAATGCACCCACTTGGAGTAATGTTTTATGTGGCTGATGAACAGAACTTTAATCTTCACAGTAAATATATCAGCCACTAAAATACCATAACAATTAATTTCTTGTTGGTGCCGAACAGCAAAGACTGTCCCTCTTAAAAATTGCACCAAACTAGTTTGAAAATTTGATACAACAAAAAGTGTTGGATCTTGCTTCTTTTGACCTAAGTTCTGATTTGGACCTTTAAAAAAAAAAGTTACTTAATCTATCAGATAGCTTCATAGCTTGTTCCCACCTCAAAATGTAATATATACTTGCAATTGCTTTGACCCTTTTTTAAAAAAATGACAATATCAGAGAAAGAAAACCACAGTTCAATTGTCTTAATATATTGCATAAAGTCCACTCAGCTGAACTCTCTTTGTTGTCCCGCTTAGGATAATAATAATAATAATAATAATAATAATAATAATAATAATAATAATAATAATAATAATAATAATAATTTTATTTATATACCGCCCTCCTCCCGAAGGACTCGGGGCGGTGTACAGCCAAAATTAAAACATATACAATATCATAATTAAAATTAATTAAAATCATTAAATAGTTTTGGCCGAATTTTAAAACCCAGAGTTAAAACCCAATTTAAAATCATTCAATTAGACAGCCCCGCCTGTCGGAACAGTAGGGTCTTGAGGGCACAGCGAAAGACCCGGAGATCAGAGATGTTACGAAGATCCGGGGGCAATTCATTCCAAAGGGCGAAGAGAAGCCTTCAAAATTACAGCCGCAGAATATCAGTTGGCGGAGAAGAGAGATTCCACCAGCCTCAAACCTCCCACTTAAATGTATAAACCTTAAAAAGGCAGAAGAAATTACATTCCATCTTTTTTAAAAAAAATTAAAAGATGGCTTTCATTTCTCCCGCCTCATTTCTCACCTCATTCGAGACTCTCAAAAGCAGCCTGCAGAGCTATTGCAGAGTGTAGAGAAAATGAAATTAGTGAATCGGTCAATTCCACCCAGGGACCAAAACTTTACAGGAAACAAAGAGAGCTGCAATAATCACTTACTTGCTTTCCCACAGAGCTGAAGTTTAATGGTTCAGGCAGCAGAAAATCAGAATGCCTAAATTTAGAGGCATCTTTCCAAGATGCAGCTGTTTGTCCCATGTGCTTCCCTGGTTAATGATCAGAGGGTATGAAATGGATATGGATGGATGGATGGGTTTCAAAAAGCCACAGCACAAAGGAAGAACGATCAGCTTATATGAAGAGATAAGGAGCTGCTCCCATCTTAAGTATTAAAATTGCTAGGCCTGACATGAAGGTAGTTTACTTCAGACCCAGCACATCTAAATGAGTTTAGGGCAAAATATTTAAGAACAACTTAGAAGGCAGAACATATTTTCAACCCGTGGGAGATTTCTCCTACGGTGGAGGCACACATGGAATTTTTGGTTTGAATTTAAATCAAAAAGATAAACGAGGTTTGATTAAAAATCTTAGGAATGTACAGGTAACCCAGTTCACTTAGCGGCCGGTTCAAAGTTACAATGGCACTGAAAGAAGTGACTTATGACCATTTTTCACACTTACGATTTTTGCAGCAACCCCAAGATCATGTGATCAAAATTCAGATGCTTGGCAACTGACTCATACTTATGACTGTTGCTGTGCCCCAAGGTCATCTGGTCATCGTTTGCAAAAATCTACGGGAAAGCCAAATTCGCTTAATAATCCCAGTACTAATGTAGCAATTGTGGCGATTCATTTAACAGCTTTGGCAAGAAAGGCCGTAAAACAGGGCAAAACTCACTTAACAAATGTCTTACTTAACAACCAAAGTTTGGGGCTGAATTGTGGTCATAAGTCAAGGCCTACCTGTACAATCATGGACATCTACAGAGTGGACATCTCTGCTGCTGATGTAAGTTTTACCCCAATCATCTTTTAAAAGGAGCTCCAGCAGTCTAATATCTTTATATTGGTAATATAATT